TTCCCCGCTCAACTGATTTCTCCTTCCCCAGCTGATGGAGATAAAACGCAATTGGCCTCTAGGTCGCCTCGGCCTCTCCTTGCCCTGCCCCCGCCACCCCTCCATAGGATCCTGGCAGATGGATCCACGTGTTGCCCTGCTGAGGGGTGGGGACCCTGTGCCTCTTGTGTCGCTAGCCCAGCTCTCTCGGTCCTGGATTTGGGGGAGAAACATCCAGGAGACTCTCCCTGCAAGCCCCTGTATTGGCCTCGTCACTGGGGCTGGGCTGTGGGGACGGGGCACAGTGACCGTGTCGGGGTCTGCGTCTCACGGTCTGTCTCCTCCTGCCCCGTGGAGCTGGTGATAGCAGGTGAGGGGCCTGGCTCAGCGTGCTTGCTCCCAGCCCCACACCCAACTCGGCGCTCAGGAGGTCTCAGAGCAAGTCTGGGCTGTCGGTATTATCACCCCCTGGTTTGATTCAGCCCCGTTTGGCAGACAAGCTCCCCTGTAGCTCTATAGACACAGGGACGTTCCTCCCCCGAAATAGGGACAGCCGCACCCAGACCTGCTCCGCAGTGACTCCAGGTGTGAATGGCACCGGGCTGGGGCAGGGACCGTCTCTGTGTCGTGTGTCTGTACAGCTCCGAGCACACGGGGGAGCTGGCCCACGACAGGGGCTCCTGGTAATTAATACTAGTCAGTAATGATTTTGGTTCTGGTTTCCGTGGAGCCAGGCAGGGGCTGTATCTGCGCTCAGGGTCTCACTGGGCCGATCCTCCCCGTTCTGGGATCCCCGGGGCGCTGAGCCGGCCCGAATCCCTGGATCCCGTCCTCTCCCCAGGGACGCCGGCTCAGCCCGGGGAAGAGCCGCCATTGCCGGTTGGGGGAGGAGAGATTCCCTGTATAAGTAACCACAGACACCAGGGCTCCAGCTTTCTCAGCCCTGCACCACACCCCTGAGAGATGCTGGTTCTATTCCCGCAGGGGGAATGGACCCGACTCAGTCAGGAACGATGCCGGCTTCCACCCGCCCCGGCAGCGCAGGGCCAGGTTCCGGGGCTGGTGGTGGGGAATCACCATCAAACCAGCTGTGGAAAAATCCCCACCTGGGGCCACCACAAACTGGGTTTCTTTGCTGTCCACCGGCACCACAAAGCCACCCCTATGGGGCACAGGTCGGTGCATATCTCCATGGGAGAACAGTGCCGGGGATAATGACCCCATGTATCTTGTCTGTCTGCCTGAGTCTACAGACAGCCGAGTGGAACGGCTCAGAAGCAGGTCTCACCTTTCGCTGGGGTGCTGCCCAGTGTGGTATTAACCCTGGAACCTCTCAGTCCAGATAGACATGGTGTTAACACTTGAACCCACTGATTCAGAGTGACATATAATTGACTCTGGAACCTAATGACAGCTGTTGCAATGACAGCACCGTTACGTCTTCCTCTGCTGATCACTTCAGCAGGGCATGGTTCTCCCAATGATCTCAAAGCTCCCTCCTCGGACACAAGCCCCGTCCCACTGCCATCCCCCACCCATATGATTCCTACGCAGAAGTGAGATGAAGCTGCTCTGAGAAATTCCCAGGACAGGGGCCTGGTGGGTGGGTGCTGCAGGATCCAGGCCCAGCTGGCTTCACAAGCAAGGGGCCTGAGGTACAGCCCCCCACTTCACACCCTGCCCCCACCCCAGTACAACCCTCTGCCACTGGGAGTGAACCCTCTGACCACCAATACCCAGAACCCCCTCTGTTCCTGCCGCCCCACTAGCCCCATAGAATGTTCTGCTGTGGGTCCCTGGGTCCTCGCGGGGGACGGGCTGGGGCAGCAGGTAACGAACCAGCTGCTCACGGTGCTCACGGCCTGGTGCTGCTTCCCAGGTGGACCTGTATCAAGCGCAGCACCGGTTCTGACCCGCACCATCATTGCCGGGGTGAGTGCGGCGGCCGCCGGCCTCCTCCTCCTGCTCCTCCTCCTGGCCTTCGTCTGCTACAGAAGAACCCGAAGAAGTGAGTTCCCCTCCCAGCGAGGGAAGGGTTAAACCCGCTGCTAAGCCGGGCTGGGAAGGGGTCATGGTTGGGATGGGAGATAGGGAAGGAAACCTAGGGGATGGGGCAGGAGGCCAGCAGGGGGCACTCTCCCCTGGCAGTGAGAGCTGGCCCCAAAGCCCCTGGGCAGCACTAGGGAGTGCTGGGCTGCAGGAGGAGGGGACCTGTTTCTAGGGTATCCAGGCTCAGCAGCTGGAGGGGGTGGGGCTCCTCCTGGCAGAGCAGTGGGGGGACGACTCCCCTATAGGGCTGAGGGGCAGGGCTGGTACAGCTGGACAGAGGGGTCAGAGCTGGGTGTGGGGTTCTGCTCTGGGCCAGCCGGGGGTGCAGCTCAGCGGGTGTCTCTGTTCTGCAGAATCCTCCATTGACAAAGGGAAACAGAAGCAGACCCTGGTAAGTGTCCCCTGTTACCCCATGGGGCCTGACCCCAACCTTGACCTGCCCTTGTAGTCCCCACCCATCCCCGCCTTTCCTGGCATACTCAGTGGTTTGGGGTCGGGCTGCTGGGATGGGGATGGGCTTATGGGAACGCCAGATGGGATTGCAGGGGGTGGGTGGGTGAGTGTGTCCCCCTGTCACCCCCTGCTGGAGGGAATGGGCCCTGCTCTGTGTGTGTGTCAGGGGGGGTGTTTGGTGCATGCGCGCACACACACACACACGAGTGACTCTCTCCCCTCCCACCCCAAGGAGCCTGACCCCGGCACCTACGCCGAACTGGACCTCCAGACGCTGCAGCCCAGTGTGTACGATGTGATCAACGTGAGGCGGGGAGCCCCGCCGGGAGGGCCCCCC